GTTAATTTGAGTTTGACATTCGAAAATGCATTCAAACTTGACACACCGTCTCATCCCATTCCCTCCAGAGCAGTCATGTTCCAACATTTGCTGTGAATCTTCTCGCCATGGAATATCATTATGGCAGAAATCATCAACAGTAATGCGGAACGAACAGTTTACTATTACGCGTCAAGCATCGATATATCAAGAGGAGAAGACAGAATTCCAGGATGAGTCACGATCGAGGGCATGTTATTGAACCGCTAGAGTAACACTGAAGGCTGGCCATGAACCTACTGAAACGGTTGAAACGGTGAATTTTCAAGGCCCTTAATCTGTTTGGAAGAACTGACTTGAATAACATTCTAACCGTGCATTAGACAGGGATGGCAGAAGATCAGCACTCGCATTTATCCGCTGAAAACAGTATAAACCTCATCATCCTTACGTCTCTTCCACAATTGGATTATGATTATTTTGCGACTGAATAAATTCTAAACAGAAAAACCGAAGTTTTGAAATAAAGCAGTTCAGGGTGTTAACTTCACCTTCACTCTAACCATGTCCGTTTTGGGCGGGTTTCCGCAGAACAGAATTTCGATTAAGCAACAACAAGGGGAAATTATTCTAGCAACACCCAACAGGCATTTCAACGTTTTTTCAGAAACCTGAACTGTGCTCCAGTTTCTCAAATTTAGTTACTGTCAGCACGCAGTCGTTTGCCGTTCACACGATTCCTCCGTATCTTCGTTACTCATAATACCTCAGTTATCCGGATTTCTTACGAACAGCAGAAACGCGGTAGTGTGAAATCTGACAGTCTGATACAATCTCTCACCAGTTTGCCATGCTCAGCCGTCATTACGCTGCCGCTGATGCGAAATGATGCGAATGTGTCTGACTACTGCAGCTACGGTGCAACTCACGTCTGCATAAGGGCCGGTGCCAGACTGGTGATAAGGCAGAGTATTAGATAATGAGGCGAAGCTGTTAGATCATATCAGCGCATGAGACGTACTCATTACACTGTTGTATCAAGAAGAGTAGCGTTTAAGAAAAATCTCTCACAGCTGATTGTCATCACTGGAATGTCATTGCGCGGATGTCTCAGTCGCGCCCGCTGGCTGCCCAAAATGTTGATAGTGATTTTTATTCGCCCAAGTTCGAAACAATTGCCAGTAATGAATGAGGAGTGAAGCGAAAATCTGGACCGCGAGTCTGCAAGCGTGGCAGAGTGGCGTCCTTCGACAATTATCCACTTCCGTGAAGGGGATAATTTCCTTTGGAGAACAACGCAGTTTGTGCTTTCGAGGAAATTTCGAATCCAGCACATTTTTAGACATCTTATCGATCATCGTTTTGGTGGAGGGAATGAGCAAATTTTCAAAACTGGTCTGAAAGCCCGTAGTCGGCGGTTTTCGTCGCGTCGCCTTCTGAAGCGCCGCTCGTTTCGCTCACGCCATACCAACTATGGCGCTGACGACAGTCAGAAGTGCCCTCAGGCAGTGCGACAATGGACACGGACGAATAAGGGTTAGTATCCAACGTGTCTGATTCGCAGAGTACACAAACCGACGCGTGGCTCTCGTTTATTCCTCACTCGGTTCGATCGATAGCGGTGCGGAAAGGAGTGGACGAGATGCGAGGCTGGTCGCGATGACCAACGACTGACATTCAACGTGAAATATGACGCGCTGGACAGTCCTGTTTCGTTTCGACCAGACCGGACCGGACCGAACCGGACCGGACCGGGCCGGGCAGGGCACAAACACAAACACACAGATCGAGAAGAAATGATCACCTTGTCGGCGACGGCGTGGTAACCGGGGGGCCCGCAGGGCATCGTCGGTGTCGTAGTGGTCGTCATGGACAGAAACAGCTGCGACTGGCGGTGACGAGGCGAGAGAGCGCTGTCGTCGTCACTGCGTTGTTCCTCATTCTCAGCACCGCCTCCTGCGCCGCATCCGTCTCCACTGCTTCCGGGGACACTGCTGTCGGCCGAATAGCTGCTGCCTTCTGAGGACATGCTGCGTTGGCCACTGCCGTCACCCTTCTTCCTCGCATGCACTACTGAAACGAAGTGGCTATCGTCGACTTCTGCCTCCATATTTAACCGTTGCGATAAGATACGATGCCGACGAAAACCAGACTTGAGGTTGCGCGGATTTGCATAGCACCCGGCTCGGATTAGGGCATCGGCGCCGGCGGCGGCGACGGACAATGGTCAATGACAGCAAAGCGACCAGGATTGTGGTGACGGCGGGCGGCGCGACACGAAACCGGTCTCGATCGACACTGGACATCGTGAACGCTCGCTTCGGGCAAAACTGGGTCGCGTCGCACTTGCTCGAGGCCCTGGCGACACGTCTCATTACCATCACAACCGGTGTTCAATTCAGGCCGCCATCGTCCACCAACCTGGTGCTAACTAAGGTGGTCACTAATACAGTGAACAGTCCACTGTCCAGCTTAATCGATCTGCGGATCATCACAATCAATCAATTGTGTCATTGCGGCGCCCATGGGTCGCTCGTAGATGAAACCGTTTCAGATGGCCGGCCTGTCGGCCGGCAGAATACCGTAATTACTTAATTTTCTAACCTGAGCATCAGGGGCCTTGTCGTCGTCATTGGATCTCATTGAGAAACTTATTGTTTATCGCTAGTCGCAGAAACAGGTGCGGGTGAAATTGAGAAGCTTTTACGAACTCGGCAATGACAAAGAGGCCGCCGACGATCTGCTGCAGGCTTCTTGTTTACTGGTACATTAAAGAGCTGCTGGCAGGAAGGACACGCGTGAGTGAAAAAGCGCGTCTGAGCGCCACCTCACTTTCTCCTCACCGTCGCGAAAAACATCTCGCTAAGCAGCTAACCCATCGCACTTTATCATCTTCCAACCGACGGGAACACTATACCCACTCATCACCAGCACATCCACATGTCGCTGGCGTCTATCGACGGCAACTTTGAACGACACAAACGAGCCATTCGCACTTACAGTACAATTGATAAAGGGTTGTGTGAAAATGAACATTTGCAGAGTTTTAGGGCTATCATTCATTCCTCAAGTTCCTCCCTTAGACATGAAAATAACAACAAAGTACGAACTCACAACAACTCATTGTCAGACATATGTTTCTCAAATTTAAGGCCATACAAAAAACTGTACCGTAGTTTAAATTGTCATTGGAAATCTCTTTTAACGCAAGATTAGTTGAAACTCCAGGTCACTCTACGAAAGTTGAGGAAATCATAAAGGGTCACTAAACAGAGTTTCTAAAAAGACTCCAATATGCATGACCGGGGGTTTATTTATTTATTAATCACAGTTTTTAAAATTCATTTACCTTAAATGCTGAGTTAATTTAGCCCAGTTTATTCATGACGCAATTAAAATATTCCCAGGTTTCGTTATGTACCTAGTTCCTCATGTAATTTGCCTAAATCGCAATCAAGTCTATTGCGTTTCACTTCAGCCACCCATAAACCTAGAATGAAATTGTTACAGACTCCGTAGTTTTGCATATCGCCTATACTTCCTACTTGATTACGGTTCATTGTAACAACAATTATGGTAAACAATATCTCTCTTTCAAAAGGTTGGAAATTTAAATATACAATTTGAAGCTACGCTATTACTCTACATTTCCACTATTACATATGGTGCAAATTTTGTTATTCGTTCAGTTAGTGTCCTCTCAATCCTATTCATGCTACCCTTAGTTTGTGCATCCTGAATTATCATAATCGGGTAAGAACGTACTCATGTCAATGAAGAGTTATAGCCACGTTTTCTTTGAGAAAGTGCGGACGATTTTCATCCCTCATTGCCTTACTGTTTCAAAGGTGCCAACAGCTATATTTAATAGTCATAAAGACTTCTGAAGCTCACTCATTTCGCCATAATTAAGATGAACACCCATGAGACACGGAATGAAATGTTCGTGATGGTCATTCGTTGGATTGCTCAAATTATTGGCATTATATACATAAATAAACTGTGCCTTGTGCCGTTTTCAGCATGACCAAAAACTCACAAACCAAATACTCAATCTTCATAAACGTTAAATATGATAAATTATAGGTTTTCTAATTTTTCTGCAAAATAACGAAGAAGACATCAGGTTTCTATATACACGTACGTTCATATAATCTGTGCAACTTGTCACCTGAGAATCCTTATCAATGCAACATAATATACTCATTTACAATACATTTGTAAAGGAAAGAATGGTGACTAAATTAGTTATACCTGTAGCAAAACAAATAATTATAAGTCGACCATTTTCTTTCTGAATCAGTCTTCGAAGCCTGGATAATTCTACTTGGCACCTTTGACTCATGTCTGCCATTTTCCGGATTTACTGGTTTGCTGCGACGAGAATGGCAGGCTTTTAATGGCCACTGGCTGACTGAAATATGTCAATTTGGGAACAGTCATTTATTTCCAAAGGAAAGTTGGTTAGATCCGCTATGTTTTACGATGCCGCAAATTTAAAAAGCGCTCTTTTTATTTTGAAACCTCGTTTAGAATACACCGCAATGGGAAAGGAATATCTGGCAGTGAAAATGAATGATTGACGGGCGATTAAAAGACAGATATGTTGCGCTTACAAAGACATAATGTCCACGCTCTCAGACAAGGCAACAAAATAAATATGTAAATGGTGAAATTTCCCAGAAAGGAAGGCTAAGCAAGTGCTCCTTGCAAATCCGACTGGCAAAAGGCCCAGGGGACGGCGAAGATTGACCTGGTGCAAACATATGGAAGGAGTCTGTTCCAGACTGCATTTGTCTTTTGCCGAAGCTCAGATTCTGGCACAGGATCGGGAGCGTTGGAAGCTCTGTCTGACGTGTCTGCCTCCGCGACCCGAAAGGAGCAGCGGCGATGGAAGATGAATGAGTGAAGATGGTAAAATTTCTAAGCCGCATGACCACTAGGAACGTCCAGAATGAATGGTGCAAATGAATGAATGACCTTTCCTCAAGAATCAGTGGTCTGGTGCCGATACTCAAGCATTGATGCAAGATGGTCAACGTTGGCGAATTTTTTTTTCTTTGTGCGACTGCCAGTGCGACCCAAAAGACATGCTGCTTTCGAAAAGAGTTGACATTCTTAAGATATTGCAAAGAATTTTCCAATTTAATGGTTGTTGGTAGAAAGAAGAAGAGGAAAAGAGGCAGAGAGAAATAATTCATAAATTTTCACGACAGCTACTTTGCTCATAGCCAAGAGAGTGACGCGACGATGAGCAATATCGTTGTTGCTCCAGATCTTAGCTCTTTAATAACTCATTTTAAGGCAAAACTGACTGAAATTAAAACTGTCAGTTTTTCCTGCTAACCCTGATTCTGGTTTAGTTGTCAGAGATATTTTTACGGTCTTCATTTTTCTTAAGCAAGCAGACATTCATGAAGGACTACTGAACAGAAATTACACTTTCGAGCTATGGCGAATTAAAATATCTTTTGTCAAAGTCCTAAGTAATAAGCATAAGCAAGAGAGGAAGTCGAACGTTGAACTTATTTCTTTACCATAGGTTACATAGACATTGCTTTACTTATAAATCACGATTGGGAGGTTGAGTATAATATGAACCAGTCCCTACTTCCAGTTGAAATTCTTTACCTCATTTGAGCCATTCTGCAGTGTCCAAATGAATATCCTATATGCAGAAAGCGTATTTCCAAAAACCTGGAATTTTTCAAAAAGAGACTTTTTGAGTTTTTTCAGTATCATCTTCACTATTGAGAACCAACGAACTGAAGTTTGTAAAACTAAAGCCTCACAATTTTCTAACGCGTCTCATTACTTGAACGGCAATAGGGGTTCCTTCTGTCCACCAGCTCGCTAGGGTACTGTGGCAGTTTCACGCTTTTCGTTGCTAGCATTGCATTGCTAGTGAGAAGAAGCTCGCTTTCCTCTGAGTGATTTTTCGTTCGACAATACTCAGTTAGGAAAGTCACTTCAGATCTATGACTGAAATATATCAGGATCTGCAAAAGACAAACCTTGGAAACCACTCATTCTGTCAGGGTTTCTGAATACCTCACGCCTTACTCACAAGATCTAGTGAGTTTTATCCTGCCAGATTTGTCGAAGGATTTGCAGCAAAATGGCCATACGTTATACTAGTACTAAGTCAACGGCAAACTTGCAGACGTCAATAAATCCAATCATAAAGTGGTTTCGCAAAGATTGGCAATGATCAATGCAAAGTCGTCTATCAGGTCGATGTCTAGTGAGTATGATGTTCATTGTCAGCAGAGTAGGCTTTTAATCTCATATATTAACATGAAAGCTGGCGGACAGAAATGAAATTTTAGCTTGAAGCATGTGTATCTCCATATGACTTAAAACTCTGCATAG